CTGTAGTCAATATGAAGACTGAGAGGAACTTACCTCCCTGTGAGTATGCCCTGTAGTCATTGTGAAGATTGAATTGAACTTACCTCCCAGTGAGTATGCCCTACAGTCAATGTGAAGACTGAGAGGAACTTACCTCCCAGTGAGTATGCCCTATAGTCTATATGAAGACTGAGGTGAACTTACCTCCCAGTGAGTATGCTCTGTAGTCAATATGAAGACTGAGAGGAACTTACCTCCCTGTGAGTATGCCCTGTAGTCAATGTGAAGATTGAATTGAACTTACCTCCCAGTGAGTATGCCCTACAGTCACTGTGAAGACTGAGGTGAACTTACCTCCCAGTGAGTATGCCCTATAGTCAATGTGAAGACTGAGAGGAACTTACCTCCCAGTGAGTATGCCCTACAGTCACTGTGAAGACTGAGGTGAACTTACCTCCCAGTGAGCACGCCCAGTTGTTACTGTGAAGGCTGAAGGATAGGTCAGTATTTCAGCTCCCTGTTTGACGAGGGCTATAGACATCTCTGGAAACCTCAGATCGTAACACTAATCTTGTTAAGGAGATGCCACTCATGGACAGTATCTTAGTTGAGTTACTATCTAGGTTGTAGAAACACAAATATTGATGTTGTCATAATATGTCATGTCAAATCATGAACACACATAATACATGATGCATCTGTCTATGTGTTGTATGGATGTTCAGTGTTGTATGGATGTTTCTTACTGTGTATAGTGCATATATACGTGTGTATAAGAGTAAAGTTGGAATGAAAAATGTTTTGTTAATGTAATTTCAACTGCATATATTTTCTCACATTTCTAACATTTTACCACTTAAATTCTATCAACAAGGTATAAATAATATATTTTACCGTGTGACAATATTAATTTTGAGGTGGCAAATAAATTACATATATCCTGCCACAATATAGAAAGATGGTATTCAATTGACCGTCATTAAACATGTGATTAAAAAAAAGTAGACATAAATTATCATGTCCTCATTCTAGTTCATGTATAAATACTTGTATATAGTCTATAATTCCAACACTCGTGATGTAGAACTTTGTGGTAACGGACTGGGGTGGAAACGTGAGTGGATTCCATGGAGCTCCATATTTATAAAACATAATAGAGAAATAAAGGAATCTCAACACCACAAGGATGCTTTGTGTGATTTACTGTCAGTAGTCTATATTGTATAATCTGTAAAGACGTCATATTTTGACATTTTATTTTTTCATTATGATGACTTATTTCTCTCCAATCAGTGATTTTTAGAGAAAATGATGATTGATCTACAACTAAGACTATGCTTCTTTTTTATGTGCAGTGAATAGAATATAATAAATAATAGAAATAAAACCAAAAACAAAAGATAAAAAACAATTATTTGCTCAAATATTTTTTGTATCTTTTCACAGGTTCTCTTCTGATGGTACAAGGTTCTCATTTTGTACATACCAAACAACTTATTCAGATTTTCAAAATGTATAAACATAATATTTCTGACCTGTCTGTTTATAGAATTGATGAAGGAAAAAAGATACAATTCCAAGTCCAATATTTCCAACAGGAGTAGAAACAGGGGAGGTAATTCTGTCTCCAGGAATGGTGTAGTCGCTCTCACACAGCCGTAGGTCACCTAGGTCAAGGTCAAATAGGTGAACTTTGCTATAGGTGTCCTTAATGTCCCCTTGGTCATCAATGAGAATATGAGTGTTTAAGACTCGGTTACTATCACTATCTTGTCCCTGAAGGAAATACAAAAAAAATGAGATTATCAATCATATGCTTATTGCGTGAAACCCTGTACCGTTCTGTCATAAAAATCTCAGATCAATATGATTTGTTGTTTTTTAACACAATTTAAGGATAAAGGTTACAATACATCAGTTAGAAAAAGCGGAGAATTTTGTGTTCCACTAAATATATTATTTTTGACTTGGAGTATTCTCCCTTTTATATAGAAGATGAAAGAACCCAAAATAGTATTCCTGGCCAACTTATTTTTAGTCTCTTCAGCATTTTTAACATTCATATCTGATGCTGTGAATTCATGGTTCCTGAATGGCAACATTTTTTTTTTTTTTTTATATCTATTTCAAATATTCAATTTGAAAAAAAATGGTATATATTTCTGTTAAATGAACAAAAGTATTGCAAAATGTAATTTTTATGGACTACTTTTTTGGGGAAAATGACCTATACAAATATTTTGCAATACTGACAATTATAAAAAAATATAGTTTAACTTATCTGTTCCCTTTACACTAAAAATATTTAAACACACCACCTGCACTGTAAATATATGGGGTTGTGTTCAATTCTAGACCTGTATGATATACTTGTAAAAGATGTGCATTAATTAGGTTGCCTTACACGCGTCAGCTGTAGGGAATTTCCCTTTAGCTTAGCGGTAAAGCATCGGGTTGGAGAGCCAAGGGTTGCGGGTTTGAGCCCCAGCGACGGCACTATCTTTATCACTATTCCTCGTCCTTCTACAAATTGATATCGTTGACCCTCCCTGTTCAAGGTAGGAGAACCCTTGGCGGGGAGTCAAAGAACCTGGGTGGGTGTTTGAAAAAAGGGGGGAATAGTGTAAAAGATGTGCATTAATTAGATTGCCTTAAAAGCGTCAGCTGTAGGGGATTTCCTTTTAGCTTAGCGGTAGAGCATCGGACTGAAGAACCAAGGGTCGTGGGTTCGAGCCCCAGCGATGGCACTATCTTTATCACTATTCCTCGTCCTACTACATGTACATACTTGTGTGTTTAACATATATATAGCCCACTCTAAAGCGCTTCACAGTACATAGATCTATATGCAATTAATACAATTAGCATATACATTAATCAATACACCTGGCTAATATCTCCCTATGTGTGTATATGCCTACGTGTGTGCTGGAGATGTAATGTGTTCTGTTTGTAGTGGGACGTGCTTCCAACGGAATCATTTGTAGTGCCACCTCACTTGAATGCTACAGCACAGATACCGCAACACCCACCCCAAACCAATTTATACTCCATCTGGGTTGTTTGAGTTGCGCGGGCAGGAGAAAAACACTTTCTCTGAATATCCATGCGTACGCCGACTTCGGGGATCGAACCTCGGCCGGCTGCGTGAAAAGGCCGGATTGTTGACCACTCGACCATTAATCATGGAAGATAAAAATTGGTTGATGTCAAAGACAATGAAACTAAGAGCTGTCGCCTATGTATAGCTCGCCTATGTATGTTATTATAATATATCAACTACCAATAGAAACACATGCATAGTAAAATGTTGATATAGTGCCTGTCATTTTATTTGCCACCTCACTTACCACCAGCATATTTTAAGGACCGTTAATTGTGTAGAAATATCTATGTGAAGTAATTGTTAAGAAATTAACAAAGTCCAATAAAGCTGTTTATGCATGGACACTAAAATGTCAAAATATGGTTCAACACATTGCTTACACTCAATACAAATACATGTACTTAAACCTTATTATAGACAACAGCCTATTGATGGTGGTGGTCCAACACTACCCAAAAAAACTTGCCCAAAAAATATAACCTGAAGCTTGCCATAAAACTTTAACCAAGTCCAATAAAGCTGTTATTGGGCCCTAAAATATGAAAATATTGTCCAGTACATTGCTAACACTCCATATAAATACTTCAACCTTATAATAGACAACAGCCTATTGATGGTAGTTGTCCAACACTTCACAAAACAAGAGGCCCAAATTGGGCTTTAATGGTCAACTGATATATTTGTACAGAGAGTTGATTTGTCTAGTCTCTGAGGTTTCATGTCTGTTTTATCTAGGAAAAACAATAGATTTTGGTTGAAATCAATAAGTGCTAACTCATTCACCCTGAAATTTGGTAATGAACTATACCAACCTTTGAATTAGAGGAGTCAAATGTGTTTTCAGCGGTGAATGAGTTAAAATTCTTTGATGTTGAGAATTGAACTCATTTTTTTGACAAATGTATGACATAATTTCATGATAAATCATTAGCTATGTATACAAATACTTCTAATTCAACATAATATACTTTTATTGTACAGAGATGCAGTAGAATAGCGGGGAGTCCACTAATGACAATGTCACTACTGTCAATAGAGGAAGTATACCTAACAGACAGGGGAATTCTATAGCAAGTAAAAATCATTATCTTTCTATGGTAGTTATAGACAAGTAGTCTTTCTATACAGATGGTCTTTATAGACAGGTGATCTTTATAGATAAGTTATCTTTATAGATAGGTAGTCTTTTATACAGATTGTCTTTATAGACATGCAATCTTTATATACAGATTGTCATTATAGACAGGTGATTTTTAGAGATAAGTATATAGTCTATATGTATATAGGTAGTCTTTATATACAGATTGTCTTTATATTCAGATGGACTTTATAAACAGGTAATCTTTATATATGTATATATAATAATCAATCTTTATACACAGGTAGTCTTTACATACAGGTAGACTAGTCTTTAGACATTAGGTCTTTATATACAGATGGTCTTTATTGACAGGTGATCTTTATAGATAAGTAGTCTATATATAATTAGTCTTTATATACAGATATTTGTTTATAGACATTAGGTCTTTAAATACAGATGGATCTTAATTGACATGTGATCTTTATAGATAAGTAGTCTATATATAATTAGTCTTTATATACAGATATTTGTTTATAGACATTAGGTCTTTAAATACAGATGGTCTTTATTGACAGGTGATCTTTATAGATAGTCTATACATAATTAGTCTTTATATACAGATATTTGTTTATAGACATTAGGTCTTTAAATACAGATGGTCTTTATTGACATGTGATCTTTATAGATAAGTAGTCTTTATATAATAGTCTTTATATACAGATATTTGTTTATAGACATAAGGTCTTTATAAACAGATGGTCTTTATTGACAGGTGATCTTTATAGATAAGTAGTCTATATAGAATTATGTTCCTACAGGTAGGGCGTAAGAATTGTACCTGCTGCCCCCAATTGCATGATCGTAAGAGGCGACTAAATTTGGGACCTTATCTCTTCTCTCCTTTCTAAATAACTTTCTTCTTCCTAATGTCTCCCTTGACAATGCCTCACTTTTGGCCATTTGTTGAGCGTTCGCCCCTGTGAGGAAGGCTTTGGGTTCTGTCCCCTGGCCGAGACATACCAAAGTCTTTAAAAATGGTAGTTTCTACTCCTGCTTAACGCTCAGCAAATTAGGAGTGGGACGACTGGTTCGCCCGTTGTCAGTATAATGTGACCGGGTGGGGCGTCCTGCTGGGTGTCTTCGGCAGTATGTTTCAGTGAGGTAGCACTATAAAGTCGGCATCAGTTCCGCGCTATCACAAGGAGACAAACACGAACATATCGCAGCCTCCCAAAATACACACACATACACTACACGCATGCATCTTGCACACAGGGGAGGCCGTCCTTAAATGACCTTAGCTGTTAATAGGACGTTAAACAAAATCAAACAAACAAACTATATATAATTAGTCTTTATATACAGATGGTCTTTATTGACATGTGATCTTTATAGATAAGTAGTCTTTATATAATTAGTCTTTATATACAGATATTTGTTTATAGACATTAGGTCTTTATAAACAGATGGTCTTTATTGACAGGTGATCTTTATAGATAAGTAGTCTTTATATAATTAGTCTTTATATACAGATATTTGTTTATAGACATTAGGTCTTTATAAACAGATGGTCTTTATTGACAGGTGATCTTTATAGATAAGTAGTCTTTATATAATTAGTCTTTATATACAGATATTTGTTTATAGACATTAGGTCTTTATAAACAGATGGTCTTTATTGACAGGTGATCTTTATAGATAATTAATCTTTATATATAGGTTGTCTTTTTAGACCTATGGGCTTTATAAATATTTATAATCAGGTTGTAAATAATCCTTTTTTGGATATTATTCAGGTATTTGTGTGGTAGTAATTGATAGCAAGTCTTAAGGTAGGTTTCATCGTGTTATGGGATTTATAACTTTAAAACAATAATTCAATCTACTGAAATCAATATCATTTGGAAGTTGAAGTTGGCAATAGGGTCCCAAAATAACCAATTAATTAGAAAACCTCAATTTGTTTTTTCTATATGTCTATTTCAATCAAACTGAACAGCTATAACTGATTCCATACCGCACAGCCAAACAGACAAGTAAATGAACAACAATCAACATTAACACCTGTGTACTAGTTATACATTTACTACATTTATCCAAGAAGTGTAATGGGCCAATACAAAATCTAAATAGAAGTTGTGGCCTTTTTGGGCTGATTTTATTTTGTTTATGATATCTTATATCTATATTCTGTAATTTTTTTCATAATTATAGACATGTACTATGTCTGCAAGGTATGATTTTCTTTTCAGAAGTTATTTATTAAAACTGTAGTCATGCTGGAAAAGTCAGTTACCATTTCATAAAGGAGATTTTTTGACAGTGGTTCTGAAGGCGTCACTTGTAAGTGTACGAGAGTTGTTCCTGACTTCCAAAAAAGTTCTGTAATTGCATTTTTAAACATGTCATCTGAGAATTAGAAAGTCAGCGGGCATTGGATATATGCCTGAAATGAAATAACGTAAATGTAATAAAAAGTTAATATTAGATAATCATGTTCAATCTGTCAGTAAAACATGCCATGGGTTGAAGCATCATTTAAGATGACAGAAAGGCAGAGTTTAACCTTTTGGTGAAACCCTCCAATGGAAATCCAGAGGCTTGTTTCCTGGGCAAGTTTTCTGTAATTACAGATGGTCTCCCCTTCCAGGCTCTCTGCCATTTCCATACTCTTCATTTTCGATGTTGCAATATAGTCTGCAGCTTCAGGTAAAAACACCATCTGTAATGGAGTAGAATTAGTTAGGATTGGTACAAAGCAAGATGTTATACTGAGGCAGAAAAATCTAAATATCTTTCAGTATTATATAAATGAACAATTTTTGTTCCACATTTTTAATGAATAAATATCGAAACTTTATATAAAATTGTAAACTTTGCATGCAAAAAGTTAAAATAGTTTATAAACGTGTAAATGTAAATTTTCTCATGTCATAAATATGGTATTACACATTTGTAATAAAAATTAAACGTGCTGTAATTGAGCAAAACCGATGGAACAGATTCCTACCCCACTACACGTACTACTTTTATTTCTTTACCACATGATACATTTACTGTTATTTTAAACGAATTTAACTTTGATTATTTTGTCCTTACTTTTTTCATTGCATTTAAAATTACTCATTATTTTTAAAACATATAGTCAGCTTATTGAATAATTTGATAAATTCAATATGACACGGATGCTCAAGTAAGATCCTCTATATATTATATATACAGTGACACCCTGTGAAAATGCCAATATACACTTTATTATCACTTAAAAGGTCAGATTAGACAGGAAGACAGAATGCTTAGGTCCTCCTTTTTTAGTTTTAATATGGTATTATATATAAAGTCTAGAATGTTTTAATTCTCAGAGATCAGTTTCCAAATCAGAAAGACCTCACTTTATATTAAGTTGCTTTAATGTGTAGAAAATCCCAAGGCCAGACTGTGACTCAGGTCTTCTGAACTCCGAACAGATGCTCAAATTGGACTAAGCCAAATGGTCACTGAAAATAGGCCTACCACTAACTGACCACAGAAACAGTATAAAGGGCCTAGTTCTGCTACATGTACCTAGATTAGAAGATACATGCTTCCGTCCTTAAACAAATGATATACAGTAGATTTCTCCTAAGGTAATAGGATTGTGTCACCATTTCTCAGTAGAATTTCTTCCAATTTTGTAGTTATATTGCGTTGAAGTAAGAAAATTTTCTGCCACAAAAAAAATATAGGTTGTCAGAATTTAAAGGATTTTAAATGAAAATTTATGTAAAAAGGAGTGAGTTTTGAAAAAAAATGAAAGACACAATTTTAGGAAAAATAATGTCAATAAAAATGATACTGACATAGATTAATATTGCATTAATGTATATCAATTTAATAAATGCTGAAATTGTGTAAAATTAATTATCTATAAACGTTTAAAAATTGACATTTTATAATAAAACCGTGTACATATAGTAATTGCATGTAAAGAGTTATCTTTCTTGAAAAACTTCACAGTAGTGAAATAGGTAGCCGGGTTCCTGAAGTACAGAAAAATGGACACATGTGACTCATTGATAAAAAACAACTGAATTAATGCCTGGATTTTCTTTGAAATTCTTTAATATTGAAAGAACACACTGTTCTGTCAATAATAAACATGCAATATTTATCAGTTTAATATTAAACATCAGAATATGCGGAAATTGTGATACTGTCTCCCTACAGTGGATTTTCAACTAGGGATGCACTTCCTATTTACGTTTATCAATACACTCCTATGACCTTAATATCACTTCCCATTTGTCAGAGAAAAA